GGCCCAGCACAGGTGGGGGGAGGAGGGGGCAAGCAACTGATCCTATGTTGCATGTGCCTGTCTGCCATGCATCCACTGCCAGGGGTACTGGACAGAGCAGGTAGGTGGGTGGGCAGGGTGTTCATGGAGACTGGCTGGGACCCCTTTGAGTAGGGCATGCTCAGCCCAGCGGATGGGATGGGGCCGCACCTGGGTGGGGAGTGGTATGAGCATGGGATGGGCTGGATCCCAGGCAGGGGCCTGGGCTGGGATTTTGGGGTGGTGACACCACAGGGCCAGGACCTAGGGTAGAGCTGTGATCCATTCCCTGCATGGCCTGGTGCTGTCAGTGCTCCAGCCCCAACCTGTCTTGCTCTCAGTCTCTGCTTCAGATGCTGCTGCCTATGGCCCCATTTTATTGACCAAGCTGAGTGTGCCCTGCCCACAAGGGTCCTGGCCAGATGGAGACCATGCTTGCCCACTCAATCAGTGTGGCAGCTCTGACAGCAGGTGCAGGGTAGATGGGCTGGGGTGCCCAGGCAATGGTGTAGGGGTGGGAGGCAAGTTTGGCAGCAGTGGTGACACTGGCAGTGGCTTCTGGAAGGAGCCACCACCACCAGGAAGCTGAGTCCAGCTGCTGCACTGCCTCAGCCCCTCTGTGAACCCCGGGGCAATGGGACCAGCTGCATGCACCATGGCTTGGGTTGCCTCCCCCGCACCTGGGCTGGGTGGGGCTAAGGGTTAGATACAGTGTACCAAGGGATTGTATCTGCCTATTCTTGCTGTAAACTGTTTTGGAAGATGCAACTATAGGCTGTTGTTTGTTTTGTTCTGTTTTTTTTTAATTGAGATGTTGAAGGAATCAAAGTAGCTAGTGGTTCTGTACCATACTCTGATTCTTCTGAGCCCTAGACTATAGGCTACTGGATTTTAAAAAAAAATCTAAATACCCTTGGATTAAAAACACCCTCATCCAAAGATATTCAGAGCTATGTTAGAGTTTAACACTTGCAATTTCTTGAATCTACATGGACTGCAGGACTGATTAACTAATCTTACACTCCTAGCTGCACATTACTTTTTTGCTGAAATCAATGCAAGTTTTCTGTGAAACATTTGATTGTCGCAGTCCTTGTATAAGCTCAGCCATGGTCCTGAAGTCTTTTATAGCATATTACCCAGGAAATCTCCATCCCAAATATGTATTCAAATGTCCTTGGCCTTCTATGGATTAGGAAATGTGGCTATTCTAAAACAAATGTCTGTCCCTTATTCTCAGGACAACAGAACATTGACTTGCATCACTGGAGATAGAGCTGTATGTGTGGTTGTTGGTATTATCTCTACTTGTAGCTTTGGCCTGCAAAATATGTTGATGTTTGAGTAATAGAAGTCACTCTTCCACAACACTTTCTTGCTGCTGATCTCTATATTACAGATGTGGTTCTTAAAAGAACTTGGCTTCCTTTAACTTTTATAATGGTGGGGGTGGAGGAAAGTGTTGAGGAGACTAGAAAAATGTGTGTTGAGTGTTTTAAATACAGTATATCGGTCAATATTGCAAGTTTGCCTGATAGTCTGCATGAATGTTAATGAGTGAAAAATATTTGTTATATGTAATTATGGCCTCTCTCTGTTTTGCGGCTGATGAGTTAGGATCTTTCAGTAAGCTGTATTAAGTTAAAATTTTACCTAGCTGGAATACTGAAACTGATTTACAATACGTACTAATGTTTTAGCTCCTGTTTTACATTAAAGCTTATTATTGTGATCTCCAGTAAAAAAAAACTCATGAGTTTCAGGACTTGAAGTTCTTTTTACAGTTTGTCTGCTGTCTGGGAAATGAAGGTTGGAGTGTTTATAGCCTGGGTTGTCCCAGGGAATATGCAAGAAATAGTTTGATCTATATAGTTGGAAGAAATGTTAGAAAAGTTCTTGTTTATAAAGTACCCTAACACTGTCCATGTTAGATCCCAATTATAGGACTAATTCAATAAACAATAACCTGGAGAGACACTGGTAGATGTCACCTGAGGAGGGGCATTTTGTGACCAAAAGGTTGTCCAACATAGCTCACAAGTATATAATTGGACGAATAAAAGATATTACCTGTTTCTTGGGGAATTAACGGTCTGCATAGTATTTCAAATGCTTGTGTTTAATAGAGTACAATACTACCATCAAAGTTGAAGTTTGAATTGTGCTTAGATTTTAAGGAAACCTGGTAGTTGGAATCAGAGATTGAAATGAAGACTTTCTGGCTCGTGTCGCTTTAAAAACTGACTTTTGTCCATTTTAAAAACATGCCTCAAGTATATTTAAAAAGTTGGACAGAAATGAGAAGAAACAAATTTTAACTTCTCAATTTTAGTTGAAGCAAAACTCTATCATGTCCACGTATTAAAAATAAGTTTTCTGAGAATTTAAGTTTTGTAAGCTTTTAACCTAGTTGCTCCAAAACATGATAGTAAGAAACTTTTCTGGTAAAACATGAAATAAAGTAAATCATTATTCAATTCCTTCTTACAATATAAAAGATGTAGATGAAGAATTCTCTAACTACAAGTACACATGTTATCGGGTTCTTCTATAGTATGACTTGAGAATTATTGGAGATCACAGTAAGTCACCACCTCCAGCACCATTTTAAAACAAGCAAAATTGGTAGCAACTTATTTGCCACCTTGTTCACCCTCCAGGCTTAAAGGTTTTATGCTTCAAGCTTTTTTTCCCTCGTAAATCACAAGGGTTAGAAATGTACTGTAATATCTTTAAATTGAAGCCAAGAGTCTCATGTAATTGCCCAACACTAGAATGGGACTCTTGCTGAATATTGGAAGAGATGCAGAAAAGCAAAGTATATATGCACATTTTTAATAAGATCAATATAGAGCATAAGCTTTCATGAACTTGAGCTCACTTCATCAGAAGCTGTGAAAGGACAAACATAGAACAGTATATATAGTTGAGAGTGACTTGAATATAAAAGGTGGGGAGGGGGAGGGAGAGGAAGGGGAGCAGGGAAGGAAGAGTGCTGGGATTGGCAGGCAAACAAGTTAAAGACCCATAGGAACAAAGGGGTCATAAAAACTATTCCAGGTAATGAGATATGAATATGTAGTCCTGGTTTAGCCCATACTTAACACAATCCAGTCTGTGCATTATTTTTTGTTTCTCAATTTTCTGTTTAAACTAGTTTTTAAAATGTTGCTGTTGGAGAAGAGCAATCCTGGAGTTGGAACATCTAGGAAGGTTAAAGTGCTGTGCCCCAGGCCTTTGTGCCTTTCTGGAGCTGATGTCAGGCAGGTGTTCGTTCTTTCTTATCCGTACAGATCGTCCAGTCTATCCAGTGTAGACGGCAGAGGGACACTGTAATCAGGTGATAGTGTATATGACGTTGGTAGAATTGCAAATGAATGAACCTTAGATGTTGTTATATTCTTCATTATTTAGCGCAATGGTTTGGTCTGTAATAACGGCACTCTATATTAAGGAGGAATA